GCATAATTTATATATAATTTGCTTGTTTGTTTTTTGTTGCTGTTGGTTTTTTGTCATTTTTCCCATGTCAACAATTTTTATTAAATTTTATCCCAATTTTAGTTTTTATTTTAGTTATTTATTTTTGTTGTTATTATTTTGATATTTTAACTTAACTAACACACTCATTATGCCAAAACAAGGGTATCAAATCTTTCAAGGTATAGCTTTGAAGGAAAATTACAATCCAATCAAAACATTTGTAAAGCATGCATTATGCATTAGGGATGCACAATATACAATATCCGTAGCATTTTTCTTATTAGCCGATATTTCAATACATTTTTGGCATAATAATTGGTTTAGTTGTGCATGCTAATGTCTGTTTTTATATATAGATGATTACCTAATCTTTAAATTAATAAGTATAAGTAGATTATACTTAAGTATATTTTTATCACTTATAATAATTTAATTATGAAATGAAAGTCATTTACAGTGCATGCACAGTGCAATATACATCCATGAAATCATGGACCATCTGTTTATAATACCAGGTATTAACAGTGCCACTGTGATAGGCATGTCCACACTTAGTTGCACTATCTATAGCATGTTCTTTTTATGTGAAAATAAGTCTAAAATCTAAATGTTTTTGTATTGTTTTTATTTCTCAATGTTTCTATCTCTCCAGTACACATCCAGCATGAGGGCCAAGTACCTGGCCAACACCCGGCCCGACCCCAACAGCAGCACCTCAGCAAACTAGAGGAACACCGTCTTCTTTCCCTTCAGTCTAAAGCTCCCACTCACCCACGTTGTTCCCATAGCCCAGACCGGTTTCACCCCAGGCCCACCCATCCAGCCATGTTGATCTTTGATGCGTGCTCTCCAACCCAGCTGATAAAGGACATCCCTGCATCATGTAAATACTGCTGTCAGAGCAATGTTCCAGAGGCCTCTTGTGCTGTTTCCAGATGGCCGGTTTAGTTCAGGCAGCTAAGTAGGGTTACTCTCAGCCCTGAGTGCTTGTGTGTGAGCGTCTGTAATGAGTATGAACTTCATTACCTACAGATGCATTGAGTGACGTGTGTGTGTGTGTGTGTGTGTGTTGCTTGTGTGTGAGCATCTGTAATGAGTATGAACTTCATTACCTACAGATGCATTGAGTGACGTGTGTGTGTGTGTTGCTTGTGTGTGAGCGTCTGTAATGAGTATGAACTTCATTACCTACAGATGCATTGAGTGACGTGTGTGTGTGTGTGTGTGTGTGTGTGTGTGTGTGTGTGTGTGTGTGTTGATTCAAGCTGCCCTTGCTCATTTGTGGTGCTCTTGCCAGAGGTTCAGAAATGGTCCAAAACTGGACTGGGTTTAACGCCCATAACCCTACATTCCTGCGTAGCTTCTGTCCTCTGGTCATTTGAAGTAATGTGACCTTCTCCATTTGCAGGACCTACTGCCACATCCCGACTCTACCATTTACATCATTGGCATCTACTGTAATATAACTGAACCGATCTAATCTGAACAGCGTGAGAGCAATGAGAATTTTCCCAGAATTCAGTAATTGGGTTCCACTTGTTTAGGCTAGCCATTGAATGTACGTCAGTTGCGGTGAATTATGGAAGTGAGTGTACTTGATTATGTTCACTTTAGTTTCGGACACCAAATAGTGCACTATATTTCAGACACAGTCCAAGTTTCTCGTCAAAAAGTTGCTTTTAATGACTCTAATGGACCTTAAAGATAAAAATCTGACTGTGGAAGTTTATGGACATGTTTGCTTTAGCAAACATGTTGCGTTACGGATTCCAGTGTAATGCATGAAATATAAGCTTGAGTTAGCTAGCTTTTGCATTTTTGTACTTGTGTATAGTATGTTTCAGGCCTAAATCTGTAGCATACGCTGGTTGTGAGGAGAAGATATTCTTGGATTTTTCATCTCGTTTACAGGCTTGAGTTTTCAGTGAGAAATTATGGTTTGTAGATGTTTACTTATTGAAATTCTTGTTGGGTTCTTCTCAATATACATGGACTGAATGAAACCAACTACTCATTTAACTGGGCTGTATCCACTGCCATTACTGGAAAACCTGGACAAGCAGAGCTGGACAAACCAGCCTAACAAAGAGGAAGTTGAGGAAAACCTCATCAGATTGTTGACCAAACCTGGATTTTGACCAAACGCTGATGATCTGGACAACCTCAAACTGCTTTTATATCCAAGGACTTTCAGTCTGAATTCAACAGAACTCTACAATTGTTTAGTCTGATGCTGGGATCGCATCTGAACATTACATTTGTCCTAATACTGTTCAAACATGGAGACACTGGCACCAGCTTGCACAATTTGTCATGGCTTATCTGTTCTAGGAAAGAAGCTGGGAGAAGTTCATTGTAGTGTACACAATGTAAACTTAACATTTGGACCTTAATTTTGCTGATCAGTTTAGTCTTCAGGGAAGGGGACACCAATATGACAGGAAGTAAAGTCATCAGTGTCATGTCTTTTTGTTGTTGTTGTTTTTTCATTCAAAGAAATGAAAGCGAGCCGCAAGCCTCGGTAAATTGTGCTGTAATTCAATGTGACTTCCAAAGCCCGCAATTTCCTGGCCTTGTTGCTTCTGTACCACAAATTGCTTTCATTCCCAGAGTTGAGGGGAAACTTGCCATCCCTGAAGAGGACGTAAAAGTGATGTGCTGTCATCCAGAATATTTTCCCCTTGATGAGAGCACAGACACACAGGAGGCTAGCATCCGATCAAGGTGAACTCCCTTTCTCCTCAAGAGACCTCTCTCTGATGTAATAGACCGAGTCTAGTATGAACACGTCTCCCCTCTGGACCTTATAAAGTGGTGCCAATGTTCTCACATCATGGGCATCTTTGGTCCCACCTTCACACACACCTCATACTACCAACATCTCAACTTCAGGACACCAAGTCCAGGTCATATCCTTACCATTACAGGGCTCAACAAAAAGCATTAAAAAATGCTGCATTTGTATGATCCACGTGCTCTAAATTCATAATGATAAAGGTTCATAATTCATGAAGAATAGATAAAGCATTGGTTTGGTTGTTCATTCTTATTGTTGAGCCCTGATTTCTATCTCACAGAGATCTGCGTGGGCTCTGCGTGCTGTTTAAATGCGGACTGATAACAAATGCTAATGTGACAGCGTTGCTCCTGAGGTCCCAGACTTTTATGAAAACTTTCAAGGACTTCGTGGGGAAGGGTGTATTACAGCTATAAGCAAACAGAGCCTTGGATTGTGTTCGTCAGCTGTTATTGGACCATGTGAGTTCTTTTGCTTCTCAAAGGCATGGTCGCCCTATAAACATTTAGTAGAACCATGTTGTGAGCTACTGACGCTTGCATTGGTTTCTCGATTGATGCTTTTGTGATCAATGATTAGGTCCGTACGTCCTCAACTGTGCCAATAACCGACAGCTTTCCTGTATTTCTAAATGTTTCGCATCTTTGAAGCGGACTCTCGTGAGCTCTGTGTGGCCTGAGCAACCAGATGAGACACCTGTGAACATGAGCCTGACGCTGTGGGAGCCTGACATTTTTCTTTTTCTCTGTAAATGACCACTTTAGTGATGATGCAATCTCTGTTTTTATGCTTGGTAATGTCATACTGCAAAAATAATGTATATACAGTATATTGATCAAATGTTTGCAAGAAAATGCCCCATTAAGGACATGAAATTGTGATTATAGTACAAACAGGATTTTTTTTTTTTTTTAGTCCTCGTGACATTTTTTGACATTAGGAAGCACAAAATATGTCTCTTTCGTGCAATTTAATGATTTTGGTCTTTTATCAAGATGTTTTTATATGATTTCACTGTAGGATGAACTTTTTTTCAGTTACTAAAATATTGTAAATGTAAAAGCTGTGGTTTTATTGAGCTTGAACCCTGTGTTTTCAGATTAAACCTTACATTAACTGATGAACGTGTCTATGTTCAACTGCATGTTTTTTATTTCTATGGTGAGTATATTTAGATTATATTATTATAATGGTGACCTTTCTGATTAAACCAAGATCATAAGAAGGTTTATTGGGTTGAATTTGGTGTAGCCAAGATCACTTTATTCTTCATCTTTAGCTTTCGTGTCATTAGTCTTTTTTAATACTATTATAGTATTTATAGTTATAGCGCTTATTCAAGGATTTTGTGTTTATAAAAATCTGGCATTTTATATAAGTTCGGAATGTATTTAGTTAAGATTGCACACTTATTATTTGTACTAATGGACTCCCCGTGACTCATGGGTAATACCGACTCAGTTCTAGCATATAAAGACAAGAGGGCAGTATTGTGTCGTTCAATAGAAAGTTTATTCTAGCTTACTTAGACCTACTCCCTACTACTCAAAACTAAACTGTGGGTATTACTTCGTATTAGTAAGTAAAACAGTAGGTTTTCATTTTAATCAAATTTTGTGTAAAAAAAATACAAATAATTTTGGGAAATGATCTAATAAAATCCATTGCATTGCATTGTGGGATGCAGTTCTCTACATAAGTAGCTCTATTCTATATATGTATACTTACTGCTGAATTTATTACATGAATAATTCATTTAATAATTACTATATATATTCATGTATTTTAGTTGTCTAAAATAAACTACATATATATGTAACATTATTACATGTTATTTACCCTAATATGTAATTAATGGCAGTAAATGATTATGTATTGGTTCGCCCTCATTTTTTTATTTTTTACTGCTTATGCACTCAGAAACCTTCCAGTTTTATGGAACCGCACACACCAGCCACTAGTCAGGTGACTATAATTACACAGAAAATGGAGAGAACGCACCATTAATTTAACTTGACATTTTTATGATTTCATTCATTATTAGCTTTTCATCGCCTCACAAACCTCATGCCGTTCTTTCAGGGACCCCAGTTCAGGAAACCTTGGCATAATGTGATGTTTACTGCAATTCATGATGTTGACAACCAACAAAGAGTGGAAAATATTTTCTTACGGGTTAGGTCAAAAGTAATCTAAAAGCCATCAGAATGTGCTACCTTTTATATGTAATCCGATAGATTATGTTACTAACTACATTGCGGTTTAAAGAGGAGTATTGGCATTTGGTAATCTAGGCTGCTAGCTACATGATTGTGAATTACACTGAATTTGATGTGCCTTTGTTGTTTTGATCTGTTATGACTTGCTGTAAATGGGATGGTTTGACATTTAACCAAATATTCCTAGAAATTCACTTGTGTTTACTTCCCTGATTGTGGGTTTGGGTGAAGTTTGAAAATTGTTTTATGTTTTAAAACCAAAAGATAGTAAATGCAAAGGCATTGGATGCTGTCTGGGGCCTGACGGGAAGATAGAAATCACAGTGTTGTGTTTATGATCTCACTGCCATGTCATCAGTCATGGGGGTCAGTGTCACAAACAGGACAGACACCCGCTATAGTGACTTTCCTGTCAGCCGCCAGGCAGCTGCCGCTTCACTGGGCCTGTGTGCGTGTGGAGGGGAAGAGGGTGGACTTCTGGGAAAATAGAGGGATCTTGACACTGAGCACACCCTGCTTGTCTCCTTTCATTGTCAGTGGAAATCTAAAGCGTTTTTTTTTTTTTTTTGAGAGCCAAACAATGTCACAGACTCCAAATGTGAACAGGCATCAAAGAAACAAATTAGCTTCGAGATCCACCAATGAAAAGCCTGTGTACGTGTAACGGGAACCGTTTCCCTCTAATAGAAAAGGTTTATTCCGTAACCGGGATCGCAAATGGAATTCTGCACAGCCTAATTACGTTGGAAATTGAGTTAGGCTACTATTGTTGGGCCGCAGGAATGCGTTGAGAATGCAGTGGAGTGGTTAAGTGAATGGAAATGGGGGTGATGCCAGGCTCCTGTGAAAGCCCCCAGCAGATTTGCTTTTATTAGACCGGGCTCCATGCCAGCACTTTTAGAGTAGCTTCCTCTTTCTTCTCAGTTGGGCCTTTTCTGTTGACGTGGACATTTCAGTGTTTCTGATCATAGGTGAGATTTCTTGAGAAGTTTTTTAGCAACCATCTGCTTGAAAATGATGTCTGTTACTCAGGAAACTTTTGGGGGCTTTCTTAGCAGATGTTAACTCTGTTGTGCTGTCAATATGGGAAACTCAACAGGCAGATTCCACTCTTACTCAAAAGTAAGGACAGAAACCGTAATCACATGACACCCACACACACACAAAAATGTTTTTTGTTTCAAAGTTGCATTAAGTGTATCAAGTATTATTGGGGTACGTTTTACAAGAAAATGCTTGTTTTTCACTTTTTCTACTTCAACTTTCTACTTCATTTTGTTTAATTCAATGAGTCACTTGCAGTTTTCTGTAATTATTTGTGAAATTTACTAACAATTTCTGATTGAAAATTATTTTTACACATGTTCTCTCTCTTCTCACTGCAGGGTACCTGAAATTGACCTTCTGCCGCAACTCCGTGTTATAGTTAACTAAACACACACACACACACACACAAAAATGTTTTTTGTTTCAAAGTTGCATTAAGTGTATCAAGTATTATTGGGGTACGTTTTACAAGAAAATGCTTGTTTTTCACTTTTTCTACTTTAACTTTCTACTTCATTTTGTTTAATTCAGTCACTTGCAGTTTTCTGTAATTATTTGTGAAATTTACTAACAATTTCTGATTGAAAATTATTTTTACACATGTTCTCTCTCTTCTCACTGCAGGGTACCTGAAATTGACCTTCTGCCGCAACTCCGTGTTATAGTTAACTAAATGTATCCTATTTAATCCTATTTTTCAGGAATTGAAATAAATCCAAAATAAAACAAAGTATATATACAAGATGAAAAACTTGAATGAAAATGAGAAAAGTAGCCTTGGCAAATAAATAAGTTTAAGGTGAAAGAACTAAACTTATTAACATTTAAATGTTAAATAAAAATAAATTAAAGCAACAGAAGTATTTTAAATAACAAAATGACTAAAACTTAAACTAAAATTAAAACGGAAGGTATGAAAATGAAAGCTAATAAAGTTAAAATTAAGCGAATTCAAAATATTAATAAATACGTTTTTTTTTATATATATATATATTATATAATACATTTTTAATAATATATAAAAAAAATTATATTTAAATAATACAAAAATAATGCTCAAGTCACACCTATGTAGGTATCGGTTAACCAACGATAAAATTCATAGGTTTTTGTAAATAAAATTGACACTTTGCAAAAAAATTAAAAAAAATACAGATTATAAAAAAAAAATATATATATATATTATATAATACATTTTTAATAATATATAAAAAAATTATATTTAAATAATACAAAAATAATGCTCAAGTCACACCTATGTAGGTATCGGTTAACCAACGATAAAATTCATAGGTTTTTGTAAATAAAATTGACACTTTGCAAAAAAATTAAAAAAAATACAGATTATAAAAAAAAATTATAACTTTACTGACCTGATTCTGATCCTACCTTACTACTTACCACTTATTATTGCCATCCATTTTTTTGTGTGTGTGTTTTTTTAATGTCAGTTTATGGATGATCTGTGCATTTGAATAGTTTTGAACACTAAATTGTGCATAAATATGGTAATGTTCGCTGGATCTCTTACAAGGTGGTACTAAGTACAAAAACAATTAAATCCCCACAGTTTTAATAACGTTACTACATAATTTAACAATTTAAAGAAAAACATCAGATAGAAATGTATGACACTTTATTTTATTGTCCTTGTTACACTTTACATGTACTTATACTAGTAATAAGAATAAATGATGCACAATGACATGCAACTAGCCCTAAACTGAACTCTAATCCTAACTCAAACCCTATACTAAGTACATGTTGTTAATTAATATTGCTCAGTACTTAAATGTATAATTACACTGATACAATGACACCTTGAAATGAAGTGTAACCATTTTTTTCCCCCAATGTTAAAACTCTGCTTGTTCAAGAATATAGAATACAATTTTAGCGCTTTTACTGAAAATGACACCGTTGACAGAAATCTCAGGTCATTTCTATGGGCAGTTCTGTAAAGCTTGAGCTAGCAACAGTAACCACTGAGGGCGCGAGGTCAGTTAGGTTCTTTCCACAGCATCAAAACACATCATGTCCGTCAAATGCTCTGTCAGAGCTGTCTCTAGTGTGTAAATTCCCTTTACACTCCATCTTGACGGACAGGATTTTGAGTCACGGTGAAAGGACAGGTTCCTCAGAGCCATACAGAGGGGCAGCTGTATTCAGGGGGTCTGCAAACCCATTCCTCACACCCCACTGCCTCTTTTTAACATCGTCCTCCACCAGCAGGAAGGAATAGCTCAGTCCTGTTGTTCCCTGTCCTTTATTTAAGAGCAGTGTGGAGAAGCAGTCATTCCTCCAGTGCTGCCTTTGATTGTCAGTTAACTTCAAACTCCACCCATTGCTCTTCTCTAATACCCACACCATTCAGAAACATCGAAGACCGTTTATTCTCAACCATGTGCCCTATTCTTACCCATTTTGTCAGCTTTATTCCCCCTCACTGTTACGATTTATATACCTCAGTGTTCTTGCACCACAGCACGGGGACAAGAGAAAGTTAACAAGGTATAGCCCACATTAGTGCACCACGCTGCTCCCGAATACTTCAAGAATGAACAACTGCAGGACGACCGGCTCTACACCAAAACAGTATTGTGCCAAAGGGCAGGAGTGTTGAGCTGTGTAGTCAAAGCTAACATGAGTAGTTTCTTTTAAAAGAGGTTCGGTCTGTTGTGTCCGTTATGAAATGCGAAAACTGAAACCTTGAGGAGAGCAGCAGTTGAGTTTGTACTCCTAACAGTTGGTTGTTGTTATCGATTACTGTCCTGTCAAGAACTTTCGCAGGATGATAAACAAACTGAAGATGTTAGACGTGTTTATCAGTTAATAGCACTGTCCTGGCCTGGCA